GCAGGAACATCTTGCTGGACCTCGAGGAAAAGATCCACGCGATCCCCGGGGGCCCCGGCGCCCCGCCCGGCCGCGGCGGACGCGATGGCCCCAACGGCCCCGACGGCCCCGATGGCCCCAGCGGCCAAGGCACCTGCGCGGGCGGCCAGCTCTAGCGCGCGCAGCGAGGCAGGCCGCGGCGGCGTTCACAGGGTTGCTTTTCGGGGGGACAGGAACTTCAGTTGCTGATTTATTGTCCCATTCCCTTCTAAGATATTATTCAAAATGTAATATTGTTTCCCTTCACACTTCTTAATTCCACACACAGACGGAGCACCAGAGTTCAACAAGACGTACATATGTCTAATATAGTCCAAGGCAACATTTTGTGAATAGCTTTCCAAATCCCTTTCCTAGGAAATTGTCCAGATAAATTTATACTGTTTATACAATATTTAATAAAGTTGCGGTATTCAAACTGCACATCCATTGCAATATCCATTCTTGTTGCAATATAGTATGTTGCATCAGTGTCGTCGTCGTGAATATAAATACATATGCTTTTATTCGGCTACAATCCTTAAAATTGCTGTTGAAAGTCTTACGAAAGAACGTTCACACAAGTTTTGAATTTCCACAAAGGGATGCAACTCTTTGATTAAAAATTTGAAAAGCATTAATTTTAAATATTCAGGATTGTGAAAAAAACAGTCAGTTTGTTATGCGATACTTTCTCTAATAAAATTTTCCATGAAATGTGTTGTAAAAATATTACTTTCACGATCATAGTTATAAAACAGATATTCTGATTTTTTATATTTGAACTAATATTTTATATAATTAACATTTCGCTATAAAAATATTCAGGTATGAAGAGTATTTCTCCCGCGCATTTATAAAAGTATTGTTCTTCTTTCACGCTTCAACATAATTAATTTTGACTGACATGAAGAAGCATTATTTTCCTGATTCATATATTTTAATGTATGTTCTTGATTGGGAAATTAATTCTTTGGCTACATAACTTCAATAGGAAATTACAAAACAAAGAAATGATTCCTGATGCCATCTACATTTTAGAACATGATTACTTCCTCCTAAAACCTTCATAATACTGGAAAGTTTGAAAATAAAACTGCAAAATGTGTACCTTGTAAAGACTGAATTGTATCTAGTTTTCTTTTAATGTTGACGAGACTGAACTGGGGCAGAAGGTATTTTTTTATCGCATACATAAAAAGGAAAATATTTGGAAAATAAGTATTGGTTTCAAAGCTAATAAGCATTTATTTTATTTCCTATACTTCTATGACATCTTTTATGAAACAATTGTATTTATAATTTAATTTAACAGCAATGTGAACAATTCTCATCTACGCAAATTGTGGAAAAACCAAAACGCCATTAACTTGAAGAACCAAATTGCAAACAAATTTTATGTAAGCATGCAGTTAATTTCAAATTATTTGCCAATAAATCAAGTTTTCAAAATTTCTTGTCAGTGAAGTACAAATTCACTAAAGAAAACTTTATTTTTTGAAAACTTTAGGTCTCTTTCTAAAGATGATATATCAACGTCCAACTCTATATACACTTAGTATCTTTCCGTATCTGTACTTCCGTATACAGATCCACATTGTTTACTAAAACTTGGCAGTTATTGAAAGAAAAAGTTTCTGAAGAAATGTGTGCCTTATAACATAGACTTCTAAGTATAATAGCTATTTTGGTTTTCGAAACAATTTCGTAGTAACTTTGTAATGTTGGTTGAAGGATGTCAGAATGGAAGTGTCTCTTGAAATCGCTGCCCAGATATCTCTTTATTACGTACCTTTTCTCTTTGGAAGTTATGTAATTATAATTGAATTATGGACATTCAAACGTGTATTTGGTGTCCATATTTGCTTTGTAGCATATTTAAAAATAAAGTTCCTATCTAATTATTTTCCCCAAATTGTCTTTTCATTATATTTTATTTTAAATACCCTTGCATACAGTAATTCCTTTACATCATACCACGCATTTCAATTGAAATCTCTATACAGTATTTGAGTAAAACTCCAAGTGTGCGTATGAGCGATTGTGCGGATGTGCGGTTGAACGACTGAACCACCTCCCGTGCCCCAATTGCGACGTACGAGGTGTCATTCGATGCGTCTCGGTCACCTGATGGGGCACTGATGTGTTTTCAGATTCGGCCACAAGATACGAAGAAAATACTATAGACGTTCTGTTTCGTGTTTTGGCGCTGCGATCTTAGTGATAATACCAGGAATTAAATCAACGCCTCCTACCTCGATCTATGTAGGTAGCGTTGACTAAACACCAGTACCCATATGTATTTTTCGCACAATATGCCATAATTTTCATTCATGACGTTGGCAACACTGATGTTAAATTTTTCAAGTAAACAATTACATTACCAATTACTTGCGCTGCAAATCGATTAAATTTAGATTCGAATTATTGTAATTTTAATAATAAATTTGCGTAAACCTACAAACAGTACGGCTCAGAACTTATTAAACTTGAAGAATTTCAATTGAATATGGAGAAAACAAACGCGTAAGTAACGTTAGAGAATAAATGAACATTATGTGCGACTTCTCACTTTTACGTTCTTACAAAAGTGTGCAAGTACCGATTTTCAAATGAATGTGACCCATAACTTATTTTTATTAAACATTACTAACACCTTATTTACAAAAACATAAAAACAGTCGGAATCGATTATCATGAATCTGAAATGAATTTGAAATGAAATGTGAATGAATTTTCCTCTGTCCATTAGCTAAAGTAGGGCCGTTATAAATACTGACTGCATATATATTTTGTAAAATGAGTGATCTCAATTGAAAATATTATTAATTTTGTGTTCATAAAAACGATTACTCATTTTATTTAATTTTTGGAATTGAGTATACATAGATATTAATTTCGTTTAATCCTAAATGAATTAGTTATCACTGAATACTAGAGTTATCTGTACATAGTTTGTAACCATGTTTGATTAATAGAACAAACTTATTAAAACATAAGGACTTACTAGGTAGTGAAGTATATTATTTTTATTGTTATGCTTTTTATATTCTGTACGTATTATTTCGGAATACTTAAAAATGTATATCATTGGAATGGATCGATATCAATTTATTCTTTTTCATGTTGTACTTTACTATTTGTCCATTTAGAATTCGTTAAGAATTCTCGTTTTACCCAAATCTGCAATTTTTTGTAGCTCATGAAAGGTTATTAGCCAAAAGTGAAAGTTCATTTCATCCATGTCGGGCGAGGACATGCCCAAGCGCACGGGCCCTGACGGGATCAACACACTTTGTAATGTAAAAATTGATTAAGTTCAGATTTACAGATTATTGAAGTACTCGCAAATTTAGAAAATCAAAATCGTTTTAATGTGTTTCACTGCGTTATGCATGATAAGGCCTGATGAGTGCTGAGATCAACAATACAGGGAAGTCAGGTGTGGATCGCCCGAATAATGAAAACATGACCCGCAACCATATTAAAGGTTTAAGTTATGGCCCTTGAAACCTTGCAAGTTGGACACCGCTACACTATAGGAAAGTCATTTATCCACTTTTTTTTATGCCAGGGCCCTTTTTGTCAAAAGTGACAAATTTTTCCGGCTGGATTACAATATCTTGTAAGTACATAATAAGGGGAGAAAGAAAACAATTATTGGTACAAGTGCACCTACTTTCTCGCTTTATTTCTAAATTTGCAATTTTCGCAAATTCAGAGTTTTCAACGAAAAAGAGACCTGTGCCATCTTTATGTGTGCCTTGCTCTATCTGTAGAACAAAATGAAGCAAAAATTTGGAAAGGTTAATGAGAAAATGCTTTTTATAAACTTCAAGCACACATTTAAAAAAACTGCTTGTTTTTTTAAGTAGTACATTACCTTTCTTAAAGAGCTGATGTTTTAGAAGAGATTTGTTTAAATTTAGAATCTCTATCTTTAATTTTGAGTTTTAAAATGTTAAAATTTTGTAGTTTTTGAAAATATAGAGAGTGTACAGGTAATGAAAATAGTGCATTTTCCCCCTCCTTTGGAACATACGAGGTGAAAGTTTAAAGCAAAGCCGTTTTTCACGGGTATACGTTTTGTCGCCTAATGATTTTTCGATATCAAGAAACCCACAAAACATGGATTCTGAGTAAACGACGTGTTAGAGGAAGTAATTTACCATACATAAAAACAAGATTTATCCACTTTTTCGTTACCAGGGTCGCATAATAAGAGTTTGTATGCTGACAATTCGCCGTATTCCGCGCACGATTAAAATGTTTTCTCTTCTTACGAAGTAGAGGTGAGAGAGTGAAAAGTTGTCAGTTTCATGTGTTCAGAATAAAAGAATGGAATTGTGTAGGATTATCCCAAATTTTCAAATCTTTTACAGTCGTAAAACGAGTCTACAATTGCACAAACAGCTAAATCAAGTGGAGCGAACACTACAGAGAAGTTGCCTTGTGCCACGAGGGATTCGACACGAATTTTCAATAAAATCCGTTGCAGAGTACTTGATGTATAATGGTCCATATATTCTGTATAAAAAATAATGACAATGCTATAAACCTCTGATGAGATTTTGACGGAAGTACACATATTAACGTACTACTAAAAAATTGCTTTTAAAACTACGTTTTAAAACTACATTTTAACGTACTACTAAAAACCAGTTACTTTAACAATTAAATTGACGGCAGAAAAGTCTCTTCGATTGTAAAGTATTTTTCGCATTCTTTTCTAGTCACTTCGAAACTTGAATTCATAACATGTACTCTTTTTCCTTTATGGAGTTCGATTAGACCGTTGTCATTCAAGACATTGAGTTATGAGCCCAGCAAATGACATAGTGATGAGTAATGCATCAAAAAGATCATATTACATCAGAATATAAGAACTTTTAAAAGGAAATTCTGTTCAGTATTCTCGGGTTGCAAATAACATGAAAGGTGTAAAACAGAATCCCCGCGTGGTATTCGATGAAATTGGTTGATTAAGTGTGATTCACATGTTTGCGCGTGTTACCCTGCGACATTCGTTCAAGATGACGCCTTCACTTTAATGCATACAGAATCTCTTTGACTACATCAACAGATCCTGCACCTGCTCAACAGCAGAGAAGGAAGAGTTGCTCACAATTCCGAGGTGCAAGTTCCATGTGTAACGCGGTTTACGAGAGTTTTCTCCATATTCATGAACAAAAAGTGATCATCATTGACGCTCCATGTCCTGGTGGTTTACAGCATTTATTCTAAAAACGTTACGTTTTTGTCAATAGATGTGACGTACGTATGCTTACGTCACATCACATTAGTACTTTTGCATTGTTAAGAAGTTTTACTGAATTTTCATTTGTAATAGAATAATCCAAGATTGATCGAAATTCTCAGAAGGCTTACATATGGTTGAAAAATTCCTTGTTTGAAGAATTAATTTAGTATCCGTAATGAATTAAAACATGCGAAGTCCATCAACTACTGAATTTCTAGGATATGCAGACAATTCTAAACACTATTACTCTGGTCACTTAAAACATTGTTAATGATTTTCAAAGTCTCCAATGCCCTGTTTAGTTTTCAGATTTAGAGTTTTTATTTTAATTTTCTTCCTACTATCCCTGGAATAAAATGAACTTTTTCCTTGCATTCTTCTATAACATGAAAGCTCTATTCCCCCGACTTCCAACTTCTTAAGTTCAAAAGTGTCATAGGTACGTAGTACATCTCCTATAGCACTACCTGTTTTTAAGTTATCTCACCGGAAGATGTGGCTCAGGGCATCAAATTCTGTGCTTCTCATCAGGTGGTCCTAGGTTCGAGTCCCAACGGTGGCAGGATATTCAACACTAGCGAGATAGCAACGTCGAATTCAGTCCCTATCTGGAGGAGAATTCTAGCGGCCCGATGCACTTTCTTTCCTCTTTCTGGCCTTCTCCTCACTCTTTACTTACACAACTTACACTCACATTCACTTCACTACGCTACCTGACATATTGAAAGACCAGTCCGGAACTTAGAGCTTGTCTCTGCTAGGGCGGCACCTCACTGGTCATCCAGCGGGGGAAGATCACCGCCACCTTACGAAGGAAAAAACATGCACTAGACGTACGCGACTAACAACCGTAACATTTCTCGCACCCGGAATCGCTAATGAATCAATCAAGGAAGTTGTCAAAAACGTTCTTCACATACTGGTCTTCATTGAGGTTGTATTCCTTGGGTGTGTTATTCCTGGTTGACAGAGTAAAATAATGCAGTTTGCAACCTAGGGCCCCGCTACGTTACGACTGGTGCGTGTGGCAAAGGTACTCTTCCCTTAAGTCGTAAATAATATCGCGCATTCGACCTTTTTTTTACAATTATTTCATTCCTACTAATAATTGGAATATTAGCCGACCTGGATGGCTGAGGT